CAGGCTATAACCCTTGATTCACTTATTAATTACTATAAATCTCTTTGTTATTATTAATTTCTATTGCATTTTTATTCGAATTACTGAACATAACCAGACCCTGAGCTGTAAATTTGGCAAATTCGTTATATCTGAGTTTTTCATAACGAGCAGTAACATGACAACGATGATATTCATTGTTGATAATTTATCGAATCTCATCAGATAATGATAGTAATTGCATATAATACATTTCTGAGAGAGTTGATACTGAAAAGATAAAAAGTTGTTTAACTCTAATACACTTCTCTAGACGATTAATGTATAGTGTCTGTATGAATTTGAATGGCAAGGTTGTCAAAGTCAACAGCAAAAATGTCAATAGAAAAGTATCGAAAACTATATGTCGAGAAACGAATCGTCGACACTACAGATCTCGATACAAATTTAATATATCGAAAGTTCAAACATAGTATAGAATAGTGATATAATAAACTAATACATGCATATGCATGACAATTTGTATCAGGATTAGAGAGCTGTGGGTTCATATTTTTGCTGATCCGAACTCATCAAATATTAAAAATGCGGTTGTAAGCACTAGTGAACAGAAGAATCAGAAAACTACGGCCACACCCTAATTTAATTTCAACTGAACTCAATTCGAAATATTAGACATCTGATAAACTTGCATTTCATATTAAAAATGCTCTGTACGATTTCATTAAATGAATAAATGAGATAATTTGGAATCGTGTGAAAGAAAAGATAAATCAAAGTGCTTGAAGATTTGGTTGCTTTTCTTTTAATCATAAAATTTCTTTATTATCAATGAATATAGTTTGTCATTCATTTTTGATAAGCAAATATTCGCCTTTGAGATTTATTTTAATGATCGATTCTCAAAAGTCATACGTAATCATAATAGATTGAAATCAGCGTTTTTTTTTTCAATGAAGTTTGTCTATTGAATAGAACGAAAATAGATAACTATTCATTTATTAATATTAAATGTGAGAATCTTTCCAGTAAATTATCTTAATTCTCTCTGAACACAATAATTAATTCTAAAGAATTCAATGGCATTGAAATTAAACAAAATGAATAAAAATTTGAGAATTTTATATATGTATATGAAGATGTTTTCATAGTTAAAGATAAATATTCATTATAGAAATAATAAACTTTAATTGTCATTTAATCTTTCATCATTGACTTGTTAGATTTTATTCTGACATTTACATCATTGTTAACATCTCAACAAAATACATAACACTTCTAATCTAAGTTAGATATCTCAGTGTACATGATTATTAATACGTATAATGTTTTGATAAAATGACTTTAACTATCGATTATGAGATCATACTCCATTAAAATTCGATTGGACAAGAAATTAAAAGACATCCGTATAATCATGTCCAATTATTTGATTCAAAGGATGAAAATAAAATTGGATTGACATTTGAAAAGTATATGTGTCCTATACTAAAAGATAAAAACTATATTAAGGTTCAATTAGGTTTCTTCTAATTCAAATAATTAGTACGGATGATGAAAAATGTCGATGCAAAATACAATCAAATAAAATCTAATGATGATCATGATCAAAACATTAAAAAAAATTAATTTGGGTGTGGGTGTGGGTCGGTATGGATGTGGGTAGGTGTAGGTATTTAATCAAACAAGACCCATATCCACACTTACCCACACCCACTCACACCCACGCCCAGAATATGGGTCAACATTTAGGTTTCCGTGCGTTCCAAATTTCTCCGTCATTTCAAATGCTAGAAAGTTCGGGTTGGTGTCAAAATGAAGACAAAAATTAGTTCTACAACTTAACAGGGGCTGATAGTTCAATTTCCTCCTAGCTTATGTTCCTAGAAAACGTCTAAGATGGAATACAGAAAACCTAAGGGAAAGTAGATCCATAATAGTTAGTTTTTTATAAACATTAATGAGGAAATCGAAAAATCCAGTTCTGGTAAGTTATAGAGCTAATTTTTGCCTTCATTTTGACACCAAGCCGAGCTTTCTAGCGTTTAAAATGACGGAGAAATCTGGGATGCATGGAAATATAAAAACCGAAATTTTCCTATAGGAGAGTTCAGAAAAACCTATGTAATATTCTTAAATCTCATCATAAAATCAATAAACTATAGTGCATTCGAGAGCAGACACTTTGCTCTATCTAGCGAGCTATAAATCACAAAATCCATGCATTTGATCGAAATTGGCTTTCTCTGAGGGGCCCTTAAATCATTGTGTCTTTTGATAGAGAGAAGATTTTGAGATAGTAACATGATCAAAGATCACATGAAAAATGATTTCAGTTCAATTTTTGACTTCATCAGTTCGGTTCAGTGTTCTTCCGAATTTCTCTTGGTTTAAATTTTGAAAAACCTGGGGTGTGGGTGTGGGTGTGGGTATTTCCATCATCCACAGTCACACCTACACCCACTCACACCCACACCCACAGCCCACACCCACACCCCTTATTATTTTTAACAATTTAGTGAGAGTAATTATAATTTTTTCAACATGAATACAACCGAAAAAACGTCACAAAATAGAACAATACATGGACTCTAAAATTGCACTCTCTCATTCACAGTCAATTTTGTTCTAATGGATTTTCCACTATGATCAAGGAAGCCTATCACTTCTGTAAATATAGGAGAAGAAATCCAGAGCAATGTCAAAATGTTCGTGACTTTTGCTTTTCCTTCGAAATAGATAGCTATTTTGTGAAACAGCACGATCTAAAAGGAGTATTGATGTGTAAAGAGTAAAATTTTGCATCTCCCATCCTCATCCAGAACATGGCACGCATCTTAGCAACGTTCCTTTCCCTTTGTCACTTACCCTTACAGACCACATGTCAAGAACATCTGGTTATAATATATGAACTACTTCCGTATTGCATTTTTGGATGATTAAGTAAAATGATGGCGAAATGTGTTCCAAAATAGATAGAATAAAATAATCTACCTGTGGTTAGCAAGGGTGTGGGTGTGGGTGGGTGTGTGCGGTGTGGGTGTGGGTGTGGATGGGTGTGTGGGTGTGGGTGTGGGTGTGGGTGAGTGCGGGTGGGATGGAGGTGGGTGTCGCTGTAGGTTGGGTGTGGGGTGGGAGTGGAGTGTGAACAAGACATACACACGCATGCCACCACCCACCCAACAACACTCAAACCCACATCCGCAACCATAAAAAAAGGCTTTTTATTTTTTCCTTTCTTTTCTTTTACTATTTTTATTTGCTCTTCGATCTCTTTTACTTTCTGAGTTTCTGTAATGCGATTACTTTTTCCTTCTTATTTTCTCCGCGTATCATATATTTCTTTCCTGCTGAAGAAACGACATCTCTGTCGCAAAAAAGAAATCGAGTCGACAAGCTTCATATATTTCTATAGAAATTGCTCACCCAATAGGAATAGCTATAACTCATAGTGAAAAAGACGGTTCTGACGTCACTAAAGGTATTCCAACGATACCACAAATTGACGAAACCTTTATGATGATCTGAGCCATAAAAAGCAGTGAAAAACGTGGGCATTCATGATTTATGCGAACACCCCTAACACTCCACTGTGCACAATCACACATTATTCGCTGCACCGGTAACTACTTTGTACGAATCCTAGAAGAAACTTGTCAGCGCGGCCCCATGAGAGACCAAAGCGTAGAACTTGTCAAGAGTGTGGGTGTGTTTTGTCCAGCAACCATTATCGCGATTTCATCTTGAGGATGGGTTGTATGTAGGTGTGTGAGTGTGAATGTGTGGGTGTACATGTGGGTGAGTGCGGGTAGGTGTGGTTGTGCGGGTGTGGGTGAGTGTAGCTGTGACTGTGGGCATGAGGTATGGGTGTGGGTCTGGCTGAAGGGAAGATTCATACCCCACATCCATACCCTATATGGAGCCTGTTGACTGGATTTCTTTTTTGTGACAAAGGTGTCCTTGCTTCAGCAGGGGAAAAATGTATGATACGCGAAGAAGGTAAGAAGAAAAAAAGTACTCGCATTATAGAAGCTCATAAAGTAAAAGAGAACGAAGAGCAAATCAAAATAGAAAAAGAAAAGAAAGGAAAAAATAAAAAGCCTTTTTTTATGGGTGTCATTTGAGTGCATGATGAAATAATGGTTTTTTAGTTGATACATATTGCACATTTGCTCAACAATTGTAGAAACGGTAAGTCGTATTCTGGTTGGTGTTGTTATATGAATAGTGACGGTAACCGCTAAATATGATGCTATTTCTTTTGTTACGACGGTGGGTGTGGGTGTGGGTGTATAGCTCACGCTCACGCTCATGAACATGAGCAGTATCAGCGCTAACGCTCACGTGAGCGTGAGCGTGAGCTATACATCCCTACCCACACCCACATGCTGAAGATTTCACGCTTAACTAGAAGTAATTACGATCGCCATAATAATGTTGTCGAAATTCATTGCTCTGTAGTGGATATTTGAAGATGTTCATTCATTCAATTAGTGTACAAGAAATTCCAGTTGGCAGCCCCAAAGTAGCATCAATAATGCCACTAACGACATTTGGATTTATTCAAACAAGATTTTCACCGACATAAAAAGAAATGACAACAATTGGTGTGAAAAATAAAATATTGGATGTCTAAGAGCAAGTTTGCGCAGATGAGACGATCAGTCAATCTATTAGGATGACTTCTAAGTTAATTTCGTCAGCAGCCGTGTTTCAAGCAAGGAAGAAATCATTGGTGTCCCAAAAACAAACACTACGACAGCAGAGAAAAAATTCTGTTTCTCCCGTCCTCTTTTCTTCTCCATCGTTTTGTTTTCTTTTCTTTTCAATTTCAGTGTTTCGCATACGAATACCGTCATTTTCATTGCTCTGTTAGCTTGTGTTGTAAGGCAATATTTTTCAATTTCTTCTTCCATTACACGTGAGATTTTATGTGTATTACGTACTGAATACTCGAATTACAAAGTAGGTAGAATACTGATCAGACGACGAATGATTTAGATTGATTTTTAGATTACATAATGGCATCATCTGGACAACAGAAATCTTGTGTTGCATGTGAAAATGGAGTAGCTACGTGTACTGGATGTGAAAAACGCTTTTGTCTTCCTCATTTCACACAGCATCGGCAAGAGCTTGATGAACGAATGAACGAAGTTGTGCACGAGCATAATCAGCTGCGAAAAGCTCTCGATCAGCAAGCCACTGCTCCTCATCTTTTGTCTCGAATTGATCAATGGGAACAAACATCAATTCAAAAGATCAAGGAGACGGCAAAGCAAGCACGAGCAGACCTACAAACATGCTTTGATCGTACAAAGCATCAACTAATAAATTCACTTGACAACATGGCCAGTCGATTGAAATCAACTCAAGCAATAAATCTTTACGCTGAAAAAGAACTTGACGCATCAATGCAACAGTTGAAGCAACTACAGCAAATGTTTGAGATGCCAACAAACATCGATATTGCAGATTATAATGCAAAAGGTTCATCTATTAGTATGATCAAAGTGACAGAAAAGAAACACTTCGTCTGCCGTTTTATTGGTTGCCGTCATGCAACACTTTTGTCATCCATGTCTGCAACATAATAGATAATACTTGAGTCTCAAATGTGAGTAATATTTGAGTGAAACTATTGCAACAATTGGCCACATTCCTCTATGATGATATCGAGAGTTAAATTAAAGATTTCAATTTACAATATATACAGAACATTAATTATAGAAAAAATCTTTCAATGCGATGAACTTTGTTGTAATACTATGCAGTTGTTACAAAAGAACCAAGTCATCCTTTCGATATGGAAAAGTCTCTGAACCTTATGAATAACCAGACGTAATCATCCTGTTTTTCACTTCTGATATGAAAGCTGATAACTTCACTAACAGTCAAGTTTGAGTTCGAAGTGATCCTTATAATTGAACAGAGTGCTTTTGTGAATGATTCGTTTGTGATGTTATGGTTGATGATGTTACCCACCGCCAAGTTCGGCTTTAAAATGACTCCCGTAGTTGAACAGAATGCTTTTGAGAATGATTCATTTGTGATGTAATGATTGATAATGGTACCGCCGCCAAGCTCAACTTCGAAGTGAGTATCATAGTTGAAGAAAATGCTCGTGAGAATGATTCATTAGTGAAGTGACTGTCGATGATGTCACCAACAACCAAGCTCGGTTTCGAAGTAAGTACCATAGTTGAACAGAGTGATGATGAGAATGCACCATTTGTGACATGATGGTTGAATGACATCACCAACACCCAAGCTTGATTTCAAAGTGAGCATCATATTTGAATAGAGTGCTGTTGAGAATAATTCATTTGTGATTTGATGGTCGATGATGTCATCAACAGCTAAGCTCTGCTTTGCAATGAGTACCATACGTGAAGAGAGTGCTGTTGAGAATAATTCATTCGTGACGCGATACTTGATGACATTACTAACAATCAAGCTCAGCTTCAAAGTGAGCATCATAGTTGAACAGAGCGATTATCAGAATGATTCCTTTGTGACGTGGTAGTTGGTGATATTACCAACAGCCAAGGCTGGCTTCGATGTGAGCACTATAGTTGAACAGAGTGATGATGAGAATGATTCATTAGCGAGATGATGATCAATGATGTCAACAACAGTCAAGCTCGGCTTTGAAGTGAGTACCATATTTGAAGAGCGTGCTCGTGAGAATGATTTATCTTTGATGTGATGATTGATGACGTCACCAACAGTCGAGTTCAGCTTTGAAATGAGTACCATACTTAAAGAGGACACTCGTAAGAAGGATTCATTTGTGATGTGATAGTTGATGACATCATCAACAGCCAAACTTGGCTTGGAAGTGAGCACTATATTTAAACAGAGTGCTTTTGAGAATTATTCACTACTGATGTTGATCATCGATCATGCCGCGAACATTCAAGCTCGGATTCGAAATGAGTACCATAGTTGAGCAGAGTGCTTATGAGAATGATTCATTTGTGATGCGATGGTTGACGACGTCACCAACA